CTGAAATATGTCAATTGGTATACCATCTATTCCTGGGGCCTTATTTTTTCCTATTTCCTTCAAAGCAGCCTGAGCTTCTTCTTTCATCACCATAGGCTCTTGCGCATATGTTATTTCACTAAATTCTTCTGCGTCTGCCAGTTCTTTTTGATACAGTGACTCAGTATATTCTTTCCATATTCTATTAATACTTCCTGGATCATTTAATATTCTGCCTAAAGCATCCTTGATTATAGCAAGTCGAGGTTTGAATTTGTTCTTCAGTTCCTTGAGCTTAAGGAATGCTGAGCGAGTTCGGCCCTGTTGATTTTCTGACTTCAGCTCCTTGCACATTTCATTGTGATATTTTGCTTTGTCATCCCGTGCTGCCCTTTGGAATCTTCTGTTCAGCTCTCTAGTATCTTGAATTCTTCCTTGTGCTTTGGCTTCTGTGCACTCCAGTGCAATCTTCAGAGTTTCTTCTGACATCCATTTTGGTCTTTTTTTCCTCTTCTGTCTTTGTAATGGCCATCTGCACTCTTCATGGATGATACATTTGACATCCTCCCACAACTCATCAGGTCTTCGCTCATTAGTGTTCAAGGCCTCAAACCTGTTCCTGAGATGGTTCTGAAATTCAGGTGGGATGAACTCAAAGTCATATTTGGTTCCCGTGGATTCGGTTTAATTTTCCTCAGCTTCAGCTTGAACTTGCATATGAGTAGTTGGTGGTCTGTTCCACAATCAGCTGCTGGCCTTGTTTTTCACAGCTGATATTGAGCTTCTCCAGCAGTTTTTTCCGCAGATATAATCATCTGATTCCTATGCATACTATCAGGTGAAATCCATGTGTATGACCTGCGTTTATGTTTCTTGTAAAACGTATTTGCAATGACTAGGTCATTGATTGCGCAAAATCCAATCATTCTATCTCCAGCTTCATTATCTTGGGACAAATGGAGGGTTAGAGAGAAGAAAGCCCTCATCAAGGTGAATTGTCATAGTGCCTGCAACAATGGTCTTGAGCATATAGGAGAGGATGGCACAAGAAAGGGCAAGGTTCAGATCTATTGTTTATAGGATTGCTGTGAGTCATAGTTGACTCAGTGGGACCTACCCCAACCAGAACCTTTACAAGAACACAAAGCACCTTCTTTGCATAATTGCTATCCTGTCCCCTTCGTGGGCCACAGCACCTTCTTTGCAATCTCACCCATTTAGGCCTTAAAGTCAGTTTTTATAGGGATGGAACTTGTGGAGATGGTTTTCCTGACTACTAAATGCTTTGTGCCAACTTCCCAGCCTTACGTTCTCTGTCCTCCCGAGCAACAAAGACAAGGTGACATATGGTGATGTTCACGAGTGCCTCAGATTCCATCATTTTCCTGCCCCTGCTTACTACTGCTTCTTAGGAGCAGCTGAAAGTGTGGCTGTGGTTGCTTTTGGCTCATGAGTGAGGCTTGGATTTTCTGGGGGGACAGATTGATGGTTTGGCCAGGGGCCAAGTGACCTCAGAAGCATTAGTTTCCAATGAGGGATGATGTTGTGAATAAGATGCTCTTGCTATTATGTCCCTGGGAGGGGTTGGTATAAATTCTGCTGTTATCTCCCTCTGCCTGGAAGCTCCATCTCTGGGCTCACCCTGTATTCAGATGGGGACAGACAGCACAAAGACACACAGCACTGCTTCTCTGGGAAGAACACTTGTAGGTGATAGGAGTATGGGTTCTTTGGTGCTAAGTGATGAAGACCTTACTTCCCTCTTCTTCTGTTCCTACCAGGATCCTGGCCACGGCTGGCACCCACTTCGACCTGCGGACCCTTCGGGCTGTACGTGTGCTGAGGCCCCTAAAGCTGGTGTCTGGGATTCCGAGTGAGTCCAGCAAGAGAAGTCAAGCCCAGCCTGCCCCCAAAAGCCAATGACCCTCCATCCACACAGAGATACACACCCTACCATCACCATGACTACCATCATCACTGCCACCACTACCACCACCAGCAGTAGCACCACAATCCGTATCACTACCACTACTTCTGTCAGCAGCACCGCCATCATTACCCCCAGCACCATCAGTACCCCGAGCACCACGGTCATTACCACCAGTACCACCAACACCATCACCATCATCATTACCACCAGCACCGCCACCACCACCATCATTACCACCGGCACCACCACCACCACTATGAGCAGCAACAGCACCATCACCAGTGCCACCATCATCATCATCACCACCATCATTACCTCTTGCACCACGATCATTACCATCACCACCACCATTACCACCATCGTTAACACCATCAGCACCACCACCACCACCACCACCACTGTGACCACCATCAGCCCCACCACATCTTCCTTCACCACCAGCAGCACCATCATGGCACCACCACCATCTTTACCATCACTACTACTGCCATCACATCACCATCACTACCAGTTAAGTCACCAGTCAAGGAGTCTTTGATTTTAATGAGCTCACTTGTTTTCACTCTTGATATCAGGGAAGCAGGTGAGAGGAAGGCAGGATTAGGCCTTTTCCATTCTGTCCCATCCTGGTTTGTTTTTTGCTTTTTTCTACTTTTCTCCTCTGCATGAACTCTGTTGTGCTTCCAGCCTTTGTGTTTCCTCTAGAGGTAAAGAGCAAATAAGGAATGGAGCAGACAAGCTGGAAAGACTGAGAAGACATCCAAAAGGCTGCCTACTTGGTTTAGGGTTAGTGGGGTTGTTGGAGTTGAGACCAGCTTTTGGATATGCATCAGGATGGACTAGTTCAAGGAGAGGGTAGGAGGATGGCTAAAGTGACCTATGAGCTGGGGAGCCACATGTTCTTCCAGTGCAGTGGCCCATGTTCCACCCTGACCACACGTTCATCCAGTGCAGTGGAAGTTTGCGGTTAGATTTGGCTAAGAGCTGAGGAGTGCCAGGAAGATAGTGTTGTTGATAGTGTTTATACTCCCCATGTAGAGAAGACTTTTGGACCCTGCTGGGTATGAAGTTATGATACTCCTAGATATGAGTCCTTTTGCCTCATTTTTCTCAGGAACCTGGGTACCCAGACACCTTGCCATTCCTCTCGTGACATGCTGGGCTTTTCCTCCTCAGGACCTCTTACTGGTTTATTAGCTAAGAATCCTCTTCTTTGACCTCTCAGAACCCTGACCTTCCTTCCCAGAATCCCCTGTTCTCTCCCTCATGATTCCTTGCTCTCCCTTCCCAGAATCCCCTGCTCTTCCCCCTCATGATTCCTTGCTCTCCCTTCCCAGAATCCCTTGTTCTCTCCCTCATGATTCCTTGCTCTCCCTTCCCATAATTCCCTGTTACCTTCCCAGCATGGCTGTGTTTCTGTTAGATCTTGTGCTCTTCCTTCTCAGCATCCCTACTCTTGCCTTCAGAATCTCCTGTTCCCTCATTTCAAGATTCCTTGTTGTCTTTCCTGATTCCCTGTCTTTACTGCACCTTGAATGTCCCCTGTGGACTTCATGCTTAGAGATCTCACTCTGCTCTTTTCAGATTAGACACTCACAGCCCTTCTTCCCCAGGCCTTGGGTTTGACCCACTGAAGACGTGCAGCTCTGCCACAATCTGTCCTCTGAAATCTGTGCTCTCTCCCCACTTAATCCTTCCTTGCCCTCTAAGCTCTCAATGCTGCCCCAGGCTTTGCTGTTCTACCTACCTCTCTACTCTCTGACCATCTGCCTGTGTGGTCCAGGTCTGCAGGTTGTGCTCAAGTCCATCATGAAGGCCATGGTCCCACTCCTGCAGATTGGGCTCCTCCTCTTCTTCGCCATCCTCATGTTCGCCATCATCGGCCTCGAGTTCTACATGGGCAAATTTCACAAGGCCTGTTTCTCCAACAATACAGGTAGGCATAGTGGCCTTGGGCCACAGACTCATGAATCCACTAGACTGGATTGCTCTTAGATCAGATAGGAGGGCACTGTAAATGCAGCAAGATTGCAGGAATATTCTTACAAGCACAGGTAATAAGCCCACAAAATACATTCAGATTGTGGTAAATTCTAAAAAAGATTGCAAAAGGAGTATTTGAAATAGAAACTCAGGGCTGCTTCAGAGAGGGGCAAGGCCACCTCTACCAAGGTTACAACTGGATAGAGGTCTGAATGGGCGAGAGCAGCTTGGGACAGGGGGTGCCAAGGTGAAGCTAGCAGTGAGGAGGACAGAGCGATAGCCACATGCCCTCATGATCCTGCTCCGAGAGGTCTAGGACCTGTGCTCTCTGAGTGAAGATGATGGCTTATAAGCTCTCAGGAGAGAGGCTTAGGGAGGCAGAGGTGGAAGCAGGATAATTCAAGAATGTAATTCTGGGGAGAGGTAGTGGCACTGGGACTAGGATGTCGTGGTGGCAATGGTTATAAGGGGGAAAGTTCTGGACATATTAGAGGGAAAAACCATAGGGTTTCTAGAGAGAATATGTGGATGAGGGCAAAGAAAGTCCAATTAAGGATGACCTGAGATTTTCAGCTTGAGGGAAAGCAAGAGAAAACCCATAGGATCATCTCAATTGATGCAGAGAAGCTTTCACTAGAATTTAAACCATTTATAAGGTGAGAAGGAAGCTCATATTAAACCAGAAAGAAAAAGGAGATGTCTTCAACTCCCTAACATTTTCTGCAAACATTGCCCTTGATTATAAGACTTGAAAAGCTTTCACTTTGAAGTCAAGAACAGAATGGCCTACAATGTTACTTCTGTCCAATAATAGGTTGAATGATGGAAGTCAGTGTGAGACAAGAAAAAAAGGGGAAAACTGTCTGGAATTCGGAAGGAGAAATAAAAAAATTCTCACTATTTACAGGAAATGTGTTTGTTGGGAAGCTGTGACTTTACAGCCTTCTTCGAGACAGTGGAGGGGAGTATGTTGTAGTGCTGTGCTGTGCTGCGCTCCAAGCCTGGGAATGTCTGCTTTCTACACTAAAAATGCCCTCCCATTTCTCCTCTGCTGACAAGAGGGATTTCCATGTGTTTTCATAAATGCATTGTTGTCAAGATAGCTTTTCTGTCTCACTGTTGAGATCTTGGAGTTGCTTGCTGCTCTGCCCAAGTTAGCAGGGTCTTATTCACGTGGTCCTGCAGGTTAGCAGAAAGTCTTTCTGTGGCCCATGCTCTGAGCCCTGCAGGAGCAGGCACATGGCTGTCCAGTCACTAGAACAAGGCCTTGCTTTCTCGAAATGACAGTCCTGTCTTCAGGAGAATAAGGCTAGCCACTAGGAGGGAAAGGACCCAAGAGAGAGGTGCAGAGAGCCGTGCTGCTTTTGGTCTTCAGAGGAGTGTGCCCTAAGCATGTTTGAACGGAAACAGGCAGGTTCCATTAGAGAGAAAGGTTGTCCCACAGTTCCTGGGTTCACAGGTCTGAGGCTCAGGCCCAGAGAAGGGGTCCAGGCAGAAAGAAAAAGCTGGAGCAGACACAGGAGGTGTGCCAGGAGGTTAAGGTTGTTTCCTCAGTGCCTTCTGCTCGTGGGCAGTAAGTCTGTAGGTCCAGGTCTAGAGCAGGCCAGAGAGTTGGGTGGGCATCTGGATCAGATCTGGGTTGACTCTCCTCCTTACAGAAACACCTGTGGGAGACTTCCCCTGTGGCAAGGACCCTCCTGCACGGCTATGTGAGGGGGACACAGAGTGCCGGGAGTACTGGCCGGGGCCCAACTTTGGCATCACCAACTTCGACAACATCCTTTTTGCAGTCCTGACGGTGTTCCAGTGCATCACCATGGAGGGCTGGACTGACATCCTCTACAACGTGAGTGCGCTGTCCCTCGTCTGAAGCCAACATTGTAGCACCTCCTTTAAATGGCTCCATCTTGGGGCTCCCTTGGGCTCTGCCTGCCATCTGCCCTTTAGTGACCAGGCTTGGGGATTCTGTCTTCAACCTGGCAGCTGGCAACCTTCACCTTTGCCATTCTCATCTCCAGCTCCCGACCTGTACCCTCCTGTCATCTCTGGGGCTGCTTCCCTCATGAAGGTTAAGTTGAGGGCTGTAGGGCAGGAGACACCGTGCACAGCAGCCTGTGCACCAGGGGCCTGTTCCACATTAGACCTCCATTTCTTGAACGGCTACTTTCCTGTCAAGAATCCTTGGTGTCGATAAGGAAGTTGAGTTACAGAGAAGCCGACCCACACGCTAAAGGTCCTCAGGCCAGTGGGCAGCTCCCTGCCACTGGCTGTGCTTCCTCTGGGTGTCCTGGCAGGTAGCCCACGCACACTGCTGCTGGCCTTGCTGTTCCCAGGCAGCTGGGGAAGGGAGTGCCCAACTGGTAAGAGCTCAGGCATAGGAATGACTCTCCTTAAACCAGCCTGTCTACAGCTGTGTCCTTCCTGGTCTCCTGTGTCAGAGGTATTGACCAGTAATGAGTTTGAGTATGAGACCTTTGGGGCGGCATTTGGAGGCCTGTCTGGCTGAGGGGGGACCCACAGCTTACTCCTGAGCAGACTCAGTGGCTGTTTGTTCAGTAAAGCAGTTTGCGGCTTTTTGCCTGGTGCCAGGTTTGCTGGGCACAAGGACGAACTCTAGTGCAGGGTCTTGGGGCTTGTTGGGGACCTGTGGCTGGTTGGCTGGCCTGTGTTGAGCAGCCAGGGTGCGGTCTTTCTCCTCTGGGGCTGGTGCTGTCACTTAGAGGCTGTCCTGGTGTGTGCAGATGTCAGAGCTTAGGGACCCCGTGCCTCCCTCTGGTCTGTGCTCCTGCGCGATGCCAGGGCAGTGGGTGGGAAGGGAGGAATGATCTGCCTGCTACCTTCCCTGTGGAATCGTGAGCCCCAAGTGAGTCACAGGGAGGGGTCTCACTGGGCCTTGCTGAGTATGGCAACTGAGCCACCCTGGAGGCAGCAGATGAGGAGTTAAGGGGCACGTGGCCCAGGGTCTTTGGGACCTGGATCCCTCTTCAGAGTGTTGGTCATGTCTGGTGATTGGATTTGTTTGAGAGAACAGAAGCTGAGGACAAAGATGGCGATGAGTCACCTGACTGTCTTCTCCCCACAGCTGATCAAGGAATAATTTCCACACAAAACCCCCTTAGAGATAGCTTGGAGTTGTCCATGTTCTTGCTGCCCTGCCTACTGTGTCTATATGATGTGTCCAGGTCGGCACAGATGTGACTCATGGTGCCTTTCCAGAATCTGTGCCCCAGGTGGCAGGCGGGAGAGCCCTAGTGGTGGGAACATGGGGTCTTCATTCAGCATAGACATTCACAGGCCCCTCGCCCAGGGGCATAGACTGTCACAGCCTCCCCCCCCACCATGAACTGTCACAGGCCCCTCGCCCAGGGGCATAGACTGTCACAGCCTCCCCCCCCACCATGAACTGTCACAGGCCCCTCGCCCAGGGGCATAGACTGTCACAGGTTCCCCATTCTCCACCCCAGGGGCATGAACTGTCACAGGCCTCCCCATTCCTCCCCGGGGGCATGAATTATCACAGGCCCCCTCCCCCCGAGAGGCATAGACTGTCACAGGCCCCCCACTCCCACCCCCCCCAGGGGGAATAGACTGTCACAGGCCCTTCCCGGGGGTGGGGACATAGATTTTCACAGCACCCCCACCCAGGGCAAGCTCTCCTGTCGGTGGGCTGGGCAGTGGTGAGTAGGGGTTGTTCAGTATGAATTGTCTCCAGCTCACAGAGAATCCTCATACACTGCCTGATCCCACACCATCCCCACCATCATTGCTGCCATGTGTCAATCCATTTGTTGAAGGGCCTCTTTTTCGCTGACTTCATCAAGGATGTTGTCTCTTTAGCAGTTGGTCCACTCTGAAAACGTGACCAAAGAACGTGAAACTAAGTCTCCCCGCCCTCACTTCTGTAGACAGTTCTGACTGTACTTCTTCCAAGGTCTATTAGCTCTTCTGGCCACCCAGGCTGTATTCACGGAGTGGAATTCAAGTTTTGCACAATTCAAATGTATCAATAATTTTTCAGTCTTTGATTTTCAGAATTCAGCTTTCCTTAGCATATGTGCAACTGAAAGGTTTTGGGTTGGGCCTCGCACATCTGAGTCCTCAACGTGAACCAAGACATGAAGAAATAGGGGCCCTTGCAAACCATGCAAGTCTGATATAGCCAGAGAGAGGCATTGAGCGACACACTGTTCCTTCACTTTGGATGGACATGGGCTGGGACCTCACGGAACATGAGGAACCAGGCACATAGATCTCCCAGGGCAGTTTGCTGCACACCAAGACACAGGACTTGCAGACAGCTAGAGGTTAGACACCTGGAGCAGGTGATGAGAACTTGAAGATGAACTCATCTACAACAAGGACAATGCAGGGTCCATTGTTGTAGACAGGAAGAATTTTTGAAGAGGATTCTTTGGAGGGAGAGTAGACTCAACTCACATAACTTCAAGCCCCTTTAGACAGATTCATCATAGTGAATGAGGAGGACGTGATCCACCACCTGACCTAGGCCTCACGGTTAAGGGGCAGGAGCCACAGGTCTGCAGCGCTGGAGCAGGGAGAAGTTGGAATTGACCCAGAAGCAGCTGAGGGCAGAGAGAGAGAGAGAGAGTGTGTGTGTGTGTGTGTGTGTGTGTGTGTGTGTGTGTGTGTTCCAGCAGGGGCGCCTGAGCTGGCACTGTGGAACCTGGAGGAAGAGCGGCTCACCTTCAACTTGAAAAATAGGTGGAGTCAGATGAGGCCCCTCAAGAAGATCTGGAGGTGCCTGAGTCAGCAGTACTTTCACTGGAATAGCGTACCCATCCTCCCTTCATCTCCCTCCCTGTTTGAGATTAGAGGGCTCAGAGCAGCAAGCTGCCTCTTGTATGTGCCATCCAGATAGAACTGGCTGACCCTCCAGTGTAAAGTGCATGCGAGGAGATTGTCCATCTTTCTCCTGTGGAGCAGCTGGTGGATTCAAACTGCATTTTTGGGTTGGCCCTTCTGCTGCGAGGGGTGATGAAGAAGCAAGAGAGGGCATGCCTTCCTTTGCTGGGATGGTGTCCAGCTGCCCTGGCCAGTGTGGGGTCAGGCAGTCTACTGTAAGATGTGTCAGAGGTTTTAATGACTAGCTGGAAATGGACGCTTTTAATGACTGGACTGAAATGCTTAAAGTAACTGTAGAGCTTTCTGTCACCCTGGATTTTTCTGCCTCACTTCTAAATTTGCACCCACAGGCATGGAAGGATTATTCTCACTGGCTGTGTTTAAAGGGATAGTGGAAAGTAAAGAAAATGTGGCTTATGATTATATACACATATATAAAATTATGATTAATTTTAATGTTTATTGTGCTATTAAAGACTTGAGGGACTTTTGCTCAGATTGTAAGTGAAAAAACTCTAATTTGAAGTTAGAGCAGATGAGACTTGCTCATAGATTGGTATACAATGTGAGGGAAAGAAAAACCAAGATGATGCCAGATTTAACATCTGACCCATTAAGAAAGTGGTGCTATTTACTGAAAAGGGGGAATGGGTGCTAAGTTTTTGGTTTATTTCATCAAGAGTGATGGGTAGCACTTAGGAATTCCATTTTAGCTCTCCCTGCTTGGTCCCTCCTTGCAACATGCTCAAAGCTTCAGAATCCTTGACTCCAAGTAGCATTCTGGCTTCACCCTCTCCAGGACAAATCTGTTTGTTCTCTTAGTAGTCCCTGGTATATTCAACACGCTTCTCCGGCACCACAGCTCAAAGACATCAATTCTCTTTCTATCATCCCTAGTCACTGTCCAGCTCTCCAAGGCATAGAACACAATTACAAAAACTATAGTCTGGATCAGGGATATCTTAGTCTCCAGCCTGACCTCGTTCTTCAGTGCTCTGGAGAGGTCCCTGAGAGCTGACTTTCCCAATGCAATTCGTCTCTTGATTTCCTGGCTGCTGATACCAAGAGTGTTGACTGTGGAGCCAAGCAAACTAAAACTGTTAACTATCTCAGTCTCTTCACCATCCATCTGATGCTGCCAATTGGCCCAATGGTGAGAATTTTTGTTTTCTTGCTGTTGAGCTGTACTCCATTTATTTATATGTTTTTCTTGTGTGTACCGTCAAATTGGATCTGACTGGCAAAGGAGGAGATCGCCCCTCCTTCTCCAGCAGAGCACCTGGTAGATTAGAATCGTGTGCCTCTGGGATTGCAGCGCGGTTTCTTGCCACTGTACTCCATGTATTATGCTGTCACCTTTCAGTCCAGTGGTGAGAATTTTTGTTTTCTTGTTGAGAAGCAATCTACATTGAAGGCTACAGTGTTTTATCTTCTGCAGTAAGTGTTTCAAGTCTTCCTCATTTTCAGCAAGCAAGCTTGTGTCATCTGCATAACATAGTGTATTGATGTGTCTTTCTCCAATTCCGATGCCACACTCTTCTTCGCAGATTCTAGTTTAATCAATAATTCACTCAGCATACAGATTGAATAGGTATGGAGAAAGGATACAACCCTGATGCATGCCTTTCTTCATTCTAAACCATACATTCTGGGACTTTGGCTGTTTTGCTGCATCTGATGGCTGTCCTGATGAGTGCATGACAGAGGGTTTTGGGGTCTTTTTCCCTCAAGAGAGGGTGTCCTTGAGCCTTTGCTGAGGGTAGAAGTCTGCTCAAAGGTGTTGGTTTTAAAACCCCACAGGGAGAGGGGATGGTACTGCAGGCTGGAGCCTGGAGCCTCCATTCTGGGAGTTTGGCTGCTTGTTTGTATCTTGATGGTGGCCCTCGGGCCAAATTTATTAATTTTTGAATGAATATTCCTTAAATGAAACAGCAATCTTTTGTCTATTTGCTGAACTAAACAACTTGGTGTTGCTGTGATGCT